AGCTAAATGGTGTTTTAACAGTTGTTGTCATAAATCTGTTCATGCTATGCAAGTTAAATTTACAGGTCCCTCCCCATTCCCCGATGTAGTGCATGTGGTTTTAGTATCTCAATTGTAGCTATCATAGTACTTCAGCAAGCAAGGGGTGGAGTGTGACAGCTGAAAATTAGGTCTGTGTGATAAAGGTGCTTGCTGAAAGCTCTATGAAAAGATTAGCTCAAGTGTTGTTCTGTATTTGTTTAAATATTGAGCTATATGTTGTTGCCAAAAGCCTAATTAAAGTTTAAGATGTAGTAAGGCCTAGTAAATTTAGCAAAGCCTTGAAGTAGTAGGCCCTGTGGTATAGTTAAAATTAACCTAATCGAAAGGAATGCAAGGCTTGTACTGTTATTGGTCAGTCTAAGGACAGTTGAAGTAAAAGGAATCTCAGTTGCTGTACATTTTCAGTACTGTTCAGAAGCTATAAATTGGCTAAACATCTGGAAATCATTCAGAAGGAAGATACAGTTCTGTGAAAAGTATTAGTTAACTGTTGACCTGGCTCAGTATGCCCGTGGATCTCGAGGAGCCCAAGGACTGAATACCAGGGTTCTTCCCAGTACCTCTCGGACAGCGCTGATTGGGGACGCCTGACTTCGCTGAGCTTTGTGGAAAGAGAAACTTGTTGTACATCAGGCATCAGGGAGGACTGCCAATAAGTTGCCAATGTGAATTATTCTTGTCTGTCATTGTTTGTCTTGTTACTATGCGTAGTTGTGTTTTTGTTAAGTCAATAAACCTTTCTTACCTTTCTACCCCCAACCATATTCTCAATCCTGAACCCTCCGCAGGTGGCTGGGACAGCATACAACAGAAAAAGGAACAATAGTGTTAGGTTGCAGCAAGGGAAGTTTAGGTTACATATTAGATAGAATTTTCTCAAGAGTAGGGTAGTAAAACTCTGGAACAGGTCGCCCAGAGAGGTGGTGGAAGCTCCATCCTTGGAGGTTTTCAAAACCCAGATAGATAAAGCTTTCACTGGGATGATCTCATTGGGAATGGTCCTGCTTTAAGCATAGGGGTGGACTAGATGACCTCCTGAGGTCCCTTCCAACCCTATCATTCTATGAATCTATAATAGTACTTCCCCCAGCTTGGTGTCATCCAGGAACTTGCTGAGGATGCAATCCATCCCACCTTCTAGATCATTAATGATCAAGGATCAATCCCAAATTGATCAATCCCAAAATCAATCCCTAGGAAACTCTACTTGATACTGGCTGCCAGCTTGGCATTGAGCCATTGATTACTACCTGTTGAGCCCGACAATCCAGCCAGCTTTCTATCCACCTTCCAGTCCATTCATCTAACCCATACTTCCTCAGCTTGCTTGTAAGAATGCTATGGGAGATGGTATCAAAAGCCTCACTAAAGTAAAAGTATTTGGCTTTCCCCATATCCACAGAGCCAGTTTGCTCATTATAAAAAGCAATCAGATCGGTCAGTCATGACTTGCTCTTGGTGTATCCATGCTGACTGTTCCTGCTTGTAAAAGGGGGCCATCCTGGGGCCAGGTCTCACATTGGCCTGCCTACCTGTCTAAGTAGGGCAGCCTGCCCAGGCACACCTGCCATGACTTGCTGTTTCTTAAAATGGTGTAAAATGTGGGAGGCTACTCCTTTTACGCCCCAATGCCAGGGGATGCTGTCCACAGCTCTGTACCTTCTCTACACTGTGGCCCATGTCTCACAGATGGCATCTAAAACAAGTTCTTAACCTTTGACCCAAACTTGGGCTCACCATGTTTGAGGACTTATATGGGTCTCAGCCTCTGGCTCAACTCTGGCCTCAGGAGTCTATAGACTTACCTTGGCCTAACTGCTCCATTTCTGGGGCTTCAACTGGGGCTGGGCCAAACTCAGTCCTATGCTGGGCCTATAGCACTCTGCCTGTCACAGGGCCTCATACTCCACCCTCTCTCACCAAGCTTCTTTCATACCACCCTACCTAGGGCCACTCTCAACCTGCCCTTTCTCCCCAAGTGACTCCCTTGGGCCATTGGGCTTAACTAATTTCATTCTGACCAGTGCACACGCAGCCCTTCAGGTCACTTGAGCTTCCCTACTCTATGTGGCACTGGCCTTGTGCCTTATACTGGGCTGACTCTGCCCCTGGCCCAACTCTCCGGACCCCTCCTTGGATGCCTCCAATCTAGAGGCTGTCCCAGCCTCCTGAATTTCAGCCTGCTCTCTTCCTGAGCCTGTCTTCCCCTAGACAGTGAGGCTCCCCCACCCCCAACTGAGGAGACCTTCATCCTCCTTAGGCCCTGACCCCACCTCCAGGTCAGTTGGGGTGCCAGATAGCTCATTATGGCCCAGGCCTGCCCCTTGCATTGGGCTTCATTGATCTTCAGCCTTCTGGCCCTGGCCCTCTTACATTTACTAGTCAAGTTGCTCTAGTCCCAGCACCACAGCACCTTCCCTCCTTAGGTAACAGGGGTCCCCTTCTGGGCCCCACCATATAGCCATCTCACACTGGGATTGCTTAGAGCCCTAGAGATCTCCCTAACACAGCTCCTCTCCCAACTGGGCTCACATGAGCCCCAGGCCTCACCCCTGTCTGTTCTAAGTCAGGGGGTTGCCTAGCCCTTCTGTAGGCCTGCAAGTTGTGAGCCCCCTTTTTAGGCTGGGCCTTGCTTTCTCTAGGCCCAAGCCTTCTTTGTGGGACTTGAGACCCCACTGGGCCCCCAGGAATCTCCTGCCTTCCCCATAGTTCTTTCCTTACCTCCAGGGTGTTGTGAGCAGCAGCTTAGCCAGAATGTTGTTGTTTCAGCTGTAGCAGCAGACTGCTACCCCAGCCCTGAGAGCCTAGCTGCTCCATCAGGGCTGGCCCACACCTGCTGGTTGCCTGCTTTCAGCCTTAAAATGGCAGACACCAAAGGTGCTCTGCCATACTGATCACCTTCTTCTCCAAGTGCTTAGAAATGGATTCTTTGAGAACCTGCTCCATGATTCTTCTGAAGACTGAGGTGAGGCTGACTGGTCTGTAGCTCCTGGGATCCTCCTTCTTCCCTTTCTTAAAGATGGGCACTATAATTTCCCTTTTTCAAGTGCCCTGGACCTTCCCCGATTTCCAGGAGTTTTCAAAGATAATGGCCAGCCACTCTGCAGTCACATTAGCCAACTCTATCAGCACCCTCGGGTGCATCCCTTCTGGCACCATGAACTTGTACATGTCCAGCTTTTCTAAATAGTCCCTAACCTGTTCTTTTACCACTGAGGGCTGCACACCTTCTCCCCAGACTGTGCTGCCCAGAACAGTATTCTGGGAACTGACCTTGCCTGTGAAGACCAAGGTAAAAAAGCATTGAGTACTTCAGCCTTTTCTTCATTATCTGTCAGTAGGTTGCCTCCCCCATTCAGTAAGGTACCCACGCTTTCCCTGACCTTCCTCCTGTTGCTAACATACTTGTAGAAACCCTTTGTGACAGTTGAAAATTATGTCCGTGTGATAAAGGTGCTTGCTGAAGGCTCTATGAAGATTAGACCAAGTGTTTTTCTGTCATTTGTTTAGATATCAAGCTATATGTTATTGCTAAGATCCTAATTAAAGTTTAAGATGTAGTAAGGCCTTGTATAAAGTAAGGCCTAGTAAATTTAGCAAAGCCTTGAAGTAGTAAGACCCTGTGGTGTAGTTAAAATTAACCTTATCAAAGGAATGCAAGGCTTGTACTACTATTGGTCAATCTAAGGACAGTTGAAGTAAGAAGAATCTAAATGGCTGTAAGTAATCAGCACAGTTCAGAAGTTATAAATTGGCGAAAACACCTGGAAATAATTCAGAAGGAAGATACAGCTCTGTGAAAGGGATTAATTAGCTGTTGACCTGTATCAGTGGGCCCATGGATCTCGAGGAGCCCAAGGACTGAATACCAGGGTGCTTCCCAGTACCTCCCGGACAGCGCTGATTGGGGACACCTGACTTCGCTGAGCTTTGTGGAAAGAGAAACTTGTCATATGTCAGGCATCAGAGGGGACTGCCAATAAGTCGCCGACATGAATTATTCTTGTCTGTCATTGTCTGTCTTGTTACTATGCATCATTATGTTTTTGTTAAGTCAGTAAACCTTTCTTACCTTTCTACCTCCCGATCATACTTTCAATCAATCCCGAACCGTCCACTGGTGACTGGGACACCCTTCTTGTTACCCTTCACATCCCTTACTAGTTGCAACTCCAATTGCACTTTGGCCTTCCTGACTTCAGCCCTGCATATCCAAGCAATATTCTTATACTCCCTCCCAAGTTGTTTGTCCAAGCTTCCACTTCTTGTCATCTTCCTTTTTGTGTTTAAGCTCACTGAAGAGTTCTCTGCTAAGCCAAGCTGGTCACTTGCCACATTTTCTTTTCTTCCTGCCCATTGGGATGGTTTGTTCCTGTGCCCTCAATAAGGTTTCTTTAAAATATAATCAGCTCTCCTGGACTTCTTTCCCCCTCAAACTGATCTCCCAAGGGATCCTGCCCATCAGTTCCCTGAGGGAGTCAAAGTCTGCTTTTCTGAAGTCCAGAGCATACTCTGCTGCTCTACTTTCATCTTTTTGTCAGGATCCTGAACACAATCATCTCATGGTCACTGCTGCCAAACTTGCACTTCTACATCCCTGACAAATTCTTCCCTGTTTGTGAGCAGTAGGTCAAGAAGAGCACAGCCTGTAGTTGGTGTCTCCAACACTTGCACCAGGAGGTTGTCTCCAGTGCTTTCTAAAAATTGTCTGTATTGCCTGTGCACTGCTGTATTGCCCTCCCACCAGATGTCAGGGTGATTGAAGTTCCCCATAAGAACCATTAAAAGACTACTAAAATACAAGATTAATATGATTAAGATTAATCACTCCAGATTCCCTTGAATTCCCTATCTCAATGACTAAAGATAAAACATGAACAAGTTTTTAAGCACGAGTTGAAACACTAATGCATTTAAGCATGAGTTGAAATACTAATAACAGATGGTATTTCCAACAGGTAACGTTACTTGATGGAAAGTGTCAACCCATGTGACAGTTCACAAGGCAAACCATCAAAAGGGAGAAGAAGTGCCCTGGGAACTTGCTCTGCCAGTACTGTCAGCCCCGCTCCCATACCTTCAGCTATGCTGCAAACAAGAAGTGAGCTCTGAGCTTCCCTGGGTGAAGAAGTTGCTCCCTTAATCTGTGTGTATGTAAGGATTATGTTGTTATAAATACCACACCTTAGGTGCTGCTAGTTTTGTAACTAGCGGCACCTAGGATGGGGTACTTGGCATTAAATTTGTATGAATGATGCATAATAAATAAAAAGACTATTCAAAATTATGTTTTTTATTACTACAACAAACAGATCACAAACAGCATATTAAAGCCTTACAAAGAAAACTTAAAAAATTACCACACACACGTTATTCCTTTCTGGTACTGACTAAGCTACAAACTAGCATCACAGTCCATATTTTAAGTCCATAACAGAGAAAATAGAAAAACAAAATAGAAATAGCTGTTCTGGACACCTCCACTCTATTTCAAGTCTTAATGCTCAGTTCTTGACATTTGCACCTGAAGCTCCAGCTTATGCAGGATCCACCATCCTCTTATTGAGGCGGTTCAAACCTCTAAAAGGTGCTCTCAGCTAGCACAGATTGAATCCAAATCCTCTGGAGTGTCTGAGTGGATCCAATACGCTTATATTCTATTTCTTTTTCTCAGGAGGCGCTTAGAACAGGACACAGGTTTCTTTAGTAGAGAGAGAATTTATTAAATTTCCCCTTAACCTCTTGCAATTCCTGAGACACTGGACAGATTTGTGGAAGCTCCCTCAGTGCTGATCATCATAGAATCATAGAAAGTTAGGGTGGAAAGGACTTCAGGAGGTTATGTAGTCCAAACCCCTAATCAAAGTAGGAACATCCCCAACTAGATCATCCCAGCAAAAGCTTTGTCTAGCCAGGTTTTGAAAACCTCCAAGGATGGAGCTTCCACCACCTCTCTAGGTAACCTGTTTCAGTGTTTTACTACCCTCCCAGTGAGAAAATTCTTCCTAATATCTAACCTAAACTTCCTTTGCTGCAACTTGAGACCATTGCTCCTTGTTCTGTTGTCTGTCACCACTGAGAACAGTTCAGCTTCATCCTCTTTTGAACCCCGCTTCAGGTAGTTGAAGGCTGCTATTACAAGTCTTTTTTTTTATTTTAAATTTAAAAGGACAGTGTTTCAATCAACCAGACCCTACCCATGTTCACAGAGTGTGCACAGAACACTCCCCTCTGGGCCCCAGAAGCTGCACACACTCTCAAACGTGGTTGCTAGGATAGTGTTTACTTCTCTCGACCAAATCTCTCAACTTCTTTTGACCCAATATGATTGCTATCCACCACTGTTTCCCCATAAGCATGTTCAAGAGAGTCTCAATGGCCTTCCCAAGATAGATGCATTCTGAAAAGTTCCCTTCTACAGTGCAAGGGGGTTGATTATATGCAGAGCAAGGGAACAGAGGCAGCAGGACTCTGACTCTCCTGGAACACCTTAGCGGGGTGCCTTCCTGTGGGTGCTTTATCTGGTTCTCCATCTTGTCCACACTGGCAGCTTTCCAAACAAATTCCCTTCCCATGTCTAAGATTACTACTGTTTGTAAATAAAGCATGTCATGTTGAGTGTATGTCTACACTCTGCTTCTCACAGGGAAGAAGTGCCTTAAAGAAGCAACTTTGAAGACTGGTTGGGGAAAGGGAGGAGTGTTGGCGAGTCATGATATCTGCTGCTGAGGCACCCTGGGGCAGCAGAGCTCAGCATGACTGAGCTTCCCCTTTCTCCTGTGGTAGAAGAATGCAGAGAAATTTCAGGAGACATGTCCCCTTCTTATGCATCACCACCTAGGTGAACAATTTGACCCTCATATTGGTGGGGTAGGGAGAGAAAAAAAATCAGATCAGGTCCTTTTAAAATAACCATCAACACAATTCACTTAAATGTACAGTATAACTTCTCTCCCCCATCTCTCTGTCTTCAGATTTCAAAATGGGATGAAGATTCACAGCAGGTCTCCGGCTACAATACAAGTGTGCAACAAGCACAGATAAAGTGAACAAGCTTTGGGATAAATGTTTTGAGATAAGGAAAAAAAAATCAGATATATAAAAAAAAAAGAAATGAATAGCCGCCTACTTTGAGCAGCTAAGGATGGATCCCCAAATGGGAAGGTAGATTGATCACATATTTGGCAGACTAATGCAAGAAAGAAGCAAATGGCTGTCAAAATGAATCTAACAAAAAGATCTATCTGAGATGCTGGTTCAATACAAATATGGGATTCCCCCTGTTCCCCCAATGGAGAGGCTTACACATTTGAAATATATCCACAGGCAGCAAATTTGATACACATATACACAGACAACCATATCCTTTCAGTTATACAACTAGTTAAATAATATCAGTTCTCAGACCATAATTAAACTCATGTCTGGCATAACATAGTTGTTTTTAATATTTGTTTCCCCTGTCTTGGTGTTAATCCTACTAATGTATCACTGTTTGATTGGAGTTCTGCTTAATCTTACTTCTTGATTTTTCTGCACACTGAATTTATTGAAAAAATTACAGTAAAAATAAAGCAGCATTAGTGCACAAAAAGTCAGGAAATTCAAAGTTATGGTTTCCATAGCAACTCTAAGGCCCTTGTGCTATATTGTACATATACTAAATTTAAACATGAAAAATACTGAAATACCTCATACTGTACTGTGCAAAGGAGTCAGTAATTGTAACTTGGAGTTCCCATAGTTTTGTGTGTTTACATTCTCAGCCATGTCATTGATTTACACTGATAGCATTATATAATGCACAACATCTATTTGCAGCAACAGTGTAATTTCTGCGAGCTGAGCAGCACTGATTCACATCCACTGATTCTGGCCATCTGTGTCTACACATACGGAGGTGTGGCATGTACACATGTACACACACACACACACACACACACACACACACACAGTCTCCATAGATAGATAGCTATATTATGTACAGTGCATACTCTTTCTATTGGTTTCTATGCTAGGGTCATCAAAAACAGAGAGGAAAGAAGTGGGGGGGGATAGCCAATACAAGCCCTAAGCAGCCAATCATAGACATCCAATCACAAATACCAGCAGGAGCAGTAATGAGCTGATTTTCCATGCTGTTTTTTCTGCTGCTTCTCTCTTTCCATTTTCAGCCCCATGGTAATATGAAAGTATTTTTCGTCAAGGAAAAAGATAGATGTAACCCAACATGAGTCAAGACCAAAACCACAAATAAGATATGAGGAGCAGGAAGAGGTAGCACAAACAGAAAGGGCAGGGAGAAAATGCTTTGCAAATATTGCTAGCTTGTGACGGCAAAAATAAAAGTCAGGATCCTATTGCTCATAGGTGCCTAAGCACTATTTCGAGGTGATATTTGTTCCCCATCAGGGCTTTTGAAAATGTGAACATGGACACTCAAAGCACACAAACTACTCCAATAGGTACTTTTTCTTTTGCTGAATATAGAAAACTCCATCCTGGTTGGGTGACTGGTGTGTAGCCACAACTGCTTATCATGCTGATCAGTAAAGTTTCCTGTCTCTTCCTGTACTCCCCCTATCTGCCTGCATCACCCATTTGTTTCTAGTCTCAGTTTACAAACTCTTCATGGCAGGACTGTTCCCATGATCTGTGTTCATACTGAGTCAAAAATCATGTGGCTCTGACCCTCAGTTGGGGCTAACCAGAGGTGTAACAGAACAGCTCTGTGCCCTGGGCAGCATCAGCGTATGCAGCAGTGGCAGCTATTATGCTGCTGCTGGTGGTGGCACAACCAACTGTCAGCTGGAGTGGCAGGTATTTTTGGCCTTCCCCCACACCCACAAGACGGCACTGAGGACTGGTACCATGGTCTTCGTTCCCCTCAGTTACACTACTGACAGTAATATGAACAGTGTTTCAAACAATCACATTAATAAAGACAACTTCTTGCTATGGATGGAAGGTATTAGATCCATTTCATCCTCTATAACTCTTCATAAAATTACAAAAAAAAAAAGAAAAGAGGGCCAGGAAGCCAAATTTGGCCTTGAGCAGGGCTTGGCAGTGTATAGCCCTGGAGACATTGGATCTGGCCAGAGAGCTGGGGGGCTTTGCCCATGCTATTGTAAGGCCAGGCACAGGAGAGATTTGCACACCAGTGCTATGCTTCAGGTGGGCAGCGGAAAGGTGCGTGTGTTGGCACTGAGCCATGGCCAGACATTGCAAGGGCTTTGCATGCTGGCATGGCCAGGCAGTGGGGAGCAGCTGTGGGAGGAGGCCAGGCTGGCCTGTATGGGACCCAAACCTGCTTGATCTGGCCAATGGCTCTGATACCTTGCTAACCACTGCCCAGTGGTAAATTTTGGTTGGAAAAAAAAATCCCACATGACTATACTGCTATGTGATCTTGTAGCCCAACACAGACACAATCCTTAATGTAATGATATTGACGGGAAGCAGAAGAAAAACCACATCTACTTGTTAGCGGAAGATGGCAGAGTGCCTCTTTGACTGCAAGTGTTTCTATTATCTAATGTTTCCTTATGTTTAAGAAGCATAAAAGACAATAACTTTCCCAGTAAAGTCTCCAAATATTCACAATACTGGCATAGCCATTTCATCTTAGAAGGAAAACAAAACCTTTTGAACTTTTTTTTTTAAATGAAAATGCGTGTTATAATTTGTTACAATTCTTTGTTTGAGGCTTTTTATTCTGGAAACAGTGTAGGGGTAATTCAATGGCTGCACTGAGACACCAAGCTCTAGTCCTGTTTTAAGTATTTGTGATGAAAACTTCTGGTCTGAAAAGGATAGAAGAGAGACTTGAACCTGTCTCTGCCCAACAGTGAAAAAGAAATCTCATTGAAAATGCACTGGCTAGCTCTACTGCAGAGACATGATACAGATGTCTGCTGCGTTTCCAAACTACTCCATGTGATACGTTAATCCTCAGCATAAAACTCCCATTCTGAAAAGAGCCAAGACTGGAGCGGCAAGCATAATGCAGCTCAGTACTGAGGTATGTTGACAATCTGTGTCACATCATTGGCACAAAAAT